TGACGTGGCGCGGGGCGTGGGGGGGGGGGGGGGGCCTCTGCAGCTTACCTGGCTGCTTTTTGCTCTGACTGAGGGCTGCTGGAAGCAGGGGGTGGGGCTTGTTGCATGTACCCGCCCCCGGGCTCTTTACTGCCGGAGCTCCGCTCCTGTGCGCTCCTGCAGAAAATGACCCCTGCCTGGAACAATCAGGGGTCCCAGGGAAGGTGACTCCAGGACAGCACCGTAGCTAGGGATCTTCAGGGAAGGGGGCCTTGGGGGGGGCACCAGCTAATTAAATCAAAGGCTTCAGGGCAAGGGGGATCTGCTTGGCATGCACGCACCCAGCCCCCCTTAGAGCCTTTCTCCGAGGCGAGAACAGAAGCAGACCTTACCAATGTAAATAAACTGTGAACACTAAGGCTCCACAGAGGGCTAGGAACACTGCCATGAAAGAATGAAAAAAAGAGGGGGGAATCAAGCTTCCTCCCTCACTCCTTTCCTGAGCCGGCAATCTCTTCTGAAGCCATAAGCAGAAAATCCAACAGGAGGAGCAAACTGCTGCAGCGGCTGCAATCGAACCAGTGTGCACTAATCGTTATGTGGTGTGTGACGGGGGTCAGCCACCGGTTGCTGCTGGGTCCCAAAGAGACTTGGCTTATTGTGGATGAGCTCAAGACGGGAGATGCCGGCTGCTGGAAACATTTACGCCAATATTCTGATTCTGAACATGACGCAGTCCTCTAGCACGGTATTTTCAGCTAACTGTGTGCCATCATAGGCGAGAGTGCAATACTGTAACTGTGCGACAATGCTCCCTCTAAGCTGTGGAGTCCTGTGAGCAAACATTCTACTTTGTGCACTACGGGCATTAGAGTTCTTAGCGAGCCATTTGGCTACCGCACAAATCAGTTTGCTCTGGAGCCAGCCCTTCCTGAGCTAAGACAAAAATGTGTGAGCCGGAGGCTAAAGAACTGTGAGCTGGCTCACACGAACTCAGCTTAGAGGGAACACTGCTGTGCAACAGGCAATGGGGGGGGGAGCCAAGGTTCAGGGAGGGGGCCAAGGCAGGTTGAATAGGTTCCCAGGTTTATACAAAAGGTAGGAAATGGGTCTCTGATAGACTTCAGGAATGATCGTTAATAATTAGAATGTTTGATTGGTTTATCTCGGTATCCTGGGGGATGGGGCAGGAAGGACAGTTGATCTAGACAAAAGACTTTTCACACAGGTACAGGAGTCACAAAAGGGACAAGTGCAGAGTTGGAGACAGAAGGGCTGTTCGCCAGGTGGCTGCTGAACAGCTTAATGGAAAGGCAGATACTGGAACAGGTGGAACTCGGCATTGTTTCATATGCATACCTTGCTGGGTGGAGGGGGGGGGATTTGGAGATCGTCTTGAAGGGCTGCCTTCTGCAACTTGAATAATGGCAACCCTTTTCCAGAGCTGTGGCGAGCTCTGTGGATCAGAACCAAGAGTTCCTTTCTTGAACTGAGTTTGTGGTTCTCTGGTTCAGGTTAGAAGTGAGGTGCCCCTGCTGCTGGAGCTACCAGAGAGGAAGGCAGCGCCTCTAGGCTAACAGTGCCATAAGGCCTAATGGATCTTCGTTCTCATTTCTGCCTGACCAAATGAGCTTCAACCTGTGAAAGCTTCTATCCTTGGAAATTTCCTTGGTCTCTCATGTGCTCCCTCTCTACCTTTCCATTTCCTTTGGGAAGTCCTTTTGCCTTGCTAGGGTGGCAAGATTGGAGCTGGGGGCACTTGGAAACTCCCCTGTGTGGGTGTCAGCCACTACAGTAAACTCTACAGATGCAGATAAATCCATTAAAAGGCTTTATTCTGGAAATCAGAAAAGTCCACAGGATGGGTGAAACTCCTTGAAAGAACTAACATTAATTGCAGAGTTGTAAATTACAAGACCTCTGATCCAGCCCACATTCACACGTCATAGATACATAGTACATAGACAGGTTACCACAGTTCAGTTACTAGAGTGAGAATGTTTATCCTTTGACTTCCTTTGAAGGCCATGAGAGATCAGAAGGGTGCCCACTCCCCGGCCTTCACGATAGGAGGAATTCTTTACAGTGTTAACAAGTGCTACTAATCTACCAGTTCACCCAGACATGTCTCTGATTCCCCTTCCAGAATGTCAGAAGAGGAACCGTGGGAATAAATAGAGACATTGCCGGCAGGTGCAGTTATGGGAATCAAGCGGGAGGAAAACAGATGCAATAGGAAGAACAGAGCATAGATATTTACATCATTAAAGCATAACTACATTGAGCCCTGTTACAATATAACACCAGTGCTCATCTAGACTGACCCTAAGGCCCAGCAAGGGTCCGATTCTGACAGTGGGCTTTTTTATGTTGACGATGGCCACTCCGACTGAATCTCTTTCCACACTCTGAGCATTCGAAAGGTTTCTCCCCTGTGTGGATTCTCTGATGCTCTTGAAGACCTCTACTCTGACTGAATCTCTTTCCACACTCTAAGCATTGAAAAGGTTTCTCCCCTGTGTGGGTTCTTTGATGGAGTTGAAGAGTGCCACTCCGACTGAATCTCTTTCCACACTCTGAACATTCAAAAGGTTTCTCCCCTCTGTGGGATCTTTGATGGAGTTGAAGATTGTCACTCCTATGAAATCTCTTTCCACACTCTAAGCATTCAAAAGGTTTCCCCCCTGTGTGGGATCTCTGATGCTTTTGAAGAGTGCCACTCCGACTGAATCTCTTTCCACACTCTGAGCATTCAAAAGGTTTCTCCCCTGTGTGGGTTCTTTGATGGAGTTGAAGAGTGCCACTCCGACTGAATCTCTTTCCACACTCTGAGCATTCAAAAGGTTTCTCCCCTGTGTGGGTTCTTTGATGGAGTTGAAGACTGTCAATGCGACTGAATCTCTTTCCACACTCTAAGCATTCAAAAGGTTTTTCCCCTGTGTGGGTTCTTTGATAGAGTTGAAGACTGTTAATGCGACTGAATCTCTTTCCACACTCTGAGCATTCAAACGGTTTCTCCCCTGTGTAGATTCTTTGATGGTCTTGAAGATGGCCACTCTGACTGAATCTCTTTCCACACTCTGAGCATTCAAAATGTTTCTCCCCTGTGTGGCTTCTTTTTTGCCGTTGAAGATTGCCACTCCTACTAAATCTCCTTCCATACTCTGAGCATTCAAAAGCTCTATTCCTGAAGTTTCCTTCAGCCTGTTCATTCTGAGCTTTTTCCAATGTGAAGGCCTGACATTCCCAAACTGGCTCCTCGACCTCTCCTGCTGGGAGAAAGAGGAAGGTCAAATCACGACTGACACAAGAAGCCAAGCCACCAGTTGGGGACTCCTGATTCATGAGTGTGTGTTTTATCCCCTGAGCCCCTGGTCGTAACATTTCCCTGGCAGCCCTCCAGCAGAGGTTTTTCTATATTCTGGGTATCCCTCCCCTCCCCAAAACTCCCCAGATGTACTTTAATGGAAAACGTGGCAAATATATCTTCCATTGCCTTTCCCATTTGCCTTGCCAAGCAAGTCTTTTGAGGATGAAGTACAAGAAGTGTTTGTAATTTCTAGTCCTGTGACTGTAGAGAGAGTTTCCTTCCAGGTGTGATGAGACAGAAGAGGAGCTGGTCTTCGGACTCCAATAACATGTCTCTGCCGGGGTAGGAGAGAAGTCAGGACCACAGCAAGCGAACCCCACAGTTCTAAGGAAAGCCCCATAGAAATGCCAGTTGTTGGCGGAAGGAGGTGAAGGTCGGGAAAGGGTAGGAAAAGGTTGACAGGCATCTAAGTCATCCAGCAAAGCTGTTCTTAAGTAAATACCTCACCTCTGCCTGGAATATCCCGTATTTAAGGGCAATGCAGCCCCTCAAGGGACTAAAAGAGCCACAACTGAGCTCAGCCCCAGGAAGATTTTCCAAAATTTCTGGCCCCCAAACACCTCCCTTTCTCCTTATCCAGAAGGCTTTATAATTCTACCCAACTAAGAGTTCCTAAGAGTTGAACCAGAAATCCTCCATAGCTATTCTTTGCCCCTTTCCTTTGACATAAGGATGAAGCAGACTCACTCATAGGCATCTCACTCAAGAAGGAAATATTGTGTTGAGATCCTCTTGAGAAACTCTCCAGCCTTTCATCTGTCTCCCCTGCAGTCTGTTGTACATCAGTGCCTTCTATGGGAGAGAGAGAGTGAATGAATGAATTTATTATTACAGCGCATAGCCAGCAATATAAAACCATACCTACAAATATTTATCATATACATAGATTACAATGTCAAAAGTATCCAGATGGTGAGTCTATTAATATAAAATTGTACAAGCATTTTAAACTCTAAAACCAAAAATACGGTGTTGAGTCATACATCATCGCAATGGCAGCAATTCACACCTTTGGTGACTACGGAAGGTCCTTACCAAGAGAGGCCACGTTCCCATAGTTCTCCAGCATGACTTCCCGGTAGAGAGCTCTTTGGCCTGGATCCAGCAGGGTCCACTCTGCCAGAGTGAAATAGATGGCCACGTCCTCAAAGGAAGCTGGAGACTGAAAGAAGAAGCAGATTTCCTCACCAGAGGCTGTGCCAGGCAAGACTGCCTTCTGGAAAAGGGGCATGCTGGGAGTGCCCAGGATGGAGTGCTTGGCAGGGGTCAAGAACGTGGCGTGCAGAGCCTCCCTTACTTGGACCCCTTAGAACCCACTACAGGAGCAGAAGCCCCCCTGAGAAAGGAGGGGGAACTCAGGCGGTCCCCTGCTCGTCTCCCCTACCTGGACGGCTGGGGCCACAGACGTCTCCACTCCTCCGCAAAGACGACGATGGCTCAACACTGTCTCTTCACTGCCTGTGAGGGAGAGAACATCGGAAGAAAGGGTCTTAGCCCAGGCTTCATATTTTGTTTGGTTGTCTGAATCCTGCTTTATGCACCCCTGTTTGGAAGGCTGTGAAACCTTGCCCTGTGTACACTAAAAAAAAGTGTGTAACAATTCTGAGTAAACTTGAGGGAGAGGTGGAAGAGAAGCACAAGATTCCTAAAAAACCTTCAGGGGTGGTGGGGTGGTATAAACATTGACAACACACTCCAGACTTTTGTGACACTCGACACCTATTCTGTGAACTCCAGAGCTCAAAACTGTGGCAGCATCCCTGCTCGATCAGGGCAAAGTCCCAAGCATGCCATTGTTTCAGTGACTGGGCCCTCCCACATGATACTGAGTCCAGGGCAACAGCGGGAGGGGTTTAGGAGCTCTGGCCTCATTGGTGGCCCCTGGATTTGGGCCATTGTGGGACAAAGAGTTTTGGACTGGAGGGGCCACTGGCCAGATCCAACATTGGCTTCTGTTATGTTCTTATGTTGTTGTTCGGGCATTTTAGAGGTTAGGGTCTCTGCCTGGGATCCCCAACTCCAATAGGGTACTTTTCTATGGGCGTTAGAGACTGGCATGGGAACCCAGGCTTCCCCAGAGATAGAAGGAGGGAGGGAGGAAGAAGTTGCTGTGAACAAAAGCTATGTATTGATTTGGTGTCATGGTAAAGTGCACGGACTCTAATCCGGGGGAACCGGGTTTGATTCCCCACTCCTCCACTCGCACCTGGCTAGGTGACCTTGGGCAAGCCGTAGTTCTGACAAGAGCTGTCCTTGAAAAAGAGCAGTTTCTGTCAAGAGCTCTCTCAGCCCCACCTACCTCACAGGGTGTCTGTTGTGGGGAGGGGGAGGGAAAGGAATTTGTAAGCCGCTCTGAGACACTTGGGTAGTGAAGGGCGGGGTATAAATCTATTCTCTTCTTCTTCTTAAAACCATACACGAGTAATACTCAGCAGCATATATTCAATTTATTTATTTATATAATATTTCAATTTATGCCCCACCCTCCCCGTGAGCAGGCTCTGGGCGGCTTACGTTGATTGGTACCCTGTACCATAAAAACCACATACAAAATTTAAAACCACTTACAAACATCAACATTAAAACAATCCAACAGTGAACAATTAAAGTGCTAGTGATAGTTCAGATGGCATACTAACAATTTCAATAATGAAACTGTTAGCATCCAGAAAATCCCAACACCTGATATAATGTACACTTTAGAAATAACAAGGAATTTCATTTATTTATTTATTTATTATTGTTCGATTTATATCCCGCCCTCCCTAAAACGGGCTCAGGGCGGCTAACAGTTAGGGCACAAAGCCAAGATTAAACAATTACGGCACAAAGCCTATTCCTGGGCTGCAAGACCAAGAGCAACACAGAAACACCGCTGCTAGAATCTCACTTGCAAAGACACGGAGGACGCTGAAGATTCCTACGCTGCATGAGCTGATCTTGAACATTACGGAATGTGCTGAAATGGACAAGTTGAGAAACACTTTAAAAGGAAAAATGGAAGAAGGATTTATGAGACCTTGGAGGGCATTTCATGATTGGTTAATACTCAAGTACTGAGAGAATAAGATTAAGTGAATAATAATAATAATGGCAGATGAAATAGTTGTGAAATTGTACAGGGAAGATATGCATACAGAACAATAAATTGAAATTCTGTATATCTCGGTCCGTTCCTCCTCTTCTTTTCCCCTTTCCCCCTTTCTTTATATAAATTAATCAAATTTAAATTAAAAAAAAGACCTCCACAGTCACAGGTGGGGTGTTCGCCAAGCAGCCCTGAACAGAGCCAGAAGCCCCATATTTATACTCGTTTCAGCCTTTGGGAACTAATAGAGCTGTCAGTCAAGAATGTACCAGACTTGAGGAACACCAGACCAGCCCGTCTTAAGTTGATAATATGAAATTTGGCTCGTATGAACTTTTGCCCAGCTATATTTTATTAGCTGCGATGTCAAAAAGGCCTGGACTAATATGGCACCTCCTGTACATCTGAACTATACCAGTTTAGGCTTCGGAGCGTGGCACCTGGAGGCTGGGAGATGTCAAATATGAATTCGGGCAAAGGTACATCTTCATGGAAAGGCTGTGGTTTTTACGCCTAGGGTGCCAGGAAAAAGAACAAAGGCTTATGGGACAAATAACCTAACAGAGAGGTATAAGCTAATTCAAACTAATATACAAGAACACAGAAGGACAGCCATGGCCTAGTCTCGCTTATGATCCTGCCACCGTTTTAATGAGAATGGTTCCCCCTTCGGGTGAGTGGCCACCGTTACATCCTGTGGCACTGAAACCCAGAAGTCTACCCCTGTGCAGTGTGCAGAACTATTTCTTGAACCTTCTATCCATCAACTGCACAATC